CCGCTGTCATGTATTTAAAAAATAAAACAATAAAAAAATGAGAAAAAAAAAGAAAAGTGAAGCAGGAGGCATCACTATACCAGAACTTAAATTATACTATAGAACTACAGTCAAAAATAGACATGAAGACCAGTGGAACAGAAGACAGAGACAAACTCACATAAATACAGGTATCTCATCCTAGACAAAGGCTCCATAAACATACACTAAAGATAGCTTCTTCAACAAATGGCGCTGGGGGAACTGGAAATCCATATGTAGTAGAATGAAATTTAACCTCTATGTCTCACCCTGCACAAAAATCAACTCAAAGTAGATCAAGGGCCTAGGCATTAGACCACAGACCCTATGACTACTAGAAGAAAAAATAGGCCCAACTCTCTATCACGTCAGCTTAGGAGCTGACTTCCTCAACAGTACATTTAAGGCACAAGAAGTATAATCAAGAATAAATAAATGGGATTTTATCAAACTAAAAAGCTTCTTCACATCAAAGGAAACAATCAAGAACATGGAGAGAGCTAGGCGCAATGGAGCACGCCTGTAATCCTACTGGCTGGCAAGGCTGAGGTAGGAGGACCATGAGTTCAAAGCCAGGCTCAGCAACTTAGCAAAACCTTGTCTCTAAGTAAAATATAAAGAACGGCTGAGGGATATGGCTCAATGGTTAAGTGCCCCTGGGTTCGATCCTTAAGTACCAAAAAAAAAAAAAAAAAAAGAAAGGAAGGGAGGGAAGACAGGAATAGGAAAGATGATAGAATGTATCTACATAACTTTCGTATGTCTTTATGAATACACGACCAGTAAAACTTCACATGATGTATAACTGCAAGAATGGGATCCTAATTAGAATAAATTATACTCCATGGATGTATGTCAAAATATGCTCTACTGTCATATATATCTAAAAAGCATAACAAAAAAACCCCCGAAATTAAAAATATATAATAAAATTATAAACTTCTGCTCAGGGCATACCATGAATACTTGTGGTTCCAACTACTCAGGAGGCTGAGGCAGGAGATTTGCTTGAGCCCAAGCTGTTGAGGCCAGTCTGTGCAAAACACTGCAACTCTCTCTCTTCCAAACAAACAAAAAAATCTGTTCATCAATAAGCACCCGTAATGAGAGTAAAAAGACAAACCAGAGTGGGAGAAGATAAATGCAATACATTGAACCAAAAGGGATTCTATCTGAGGTGTGGGTCTGTGTGTGTGCATCCTAAAAAATCACTGGAAGATGAAAATGAACTCACCTGGGAAAGAGTTCTAGGTAGATGAAGCAACATGTGTAAAAGACCCTAAAGTAGAAACAACTTGGGATGCATGAGAAACGAATGGAAAGCCTGTGTAGCTGGAGTTCTGAGAGAGGGGGAGGAGTGGGTTAAGGCACAGTTGGACAGCAAGGCTTGGGCAAGATCACACAGGGCCTGGGAAGAAGTCTGTTTTTTGTTCTGGAGGCAATGAGAATCCATTGAAGGATTTTAAGCAGAGAAATGACATAATCTCATTTACATTTTAAAAAGATCACTTGGCTATGTGCACAATGAATTGCTTTGGGAAGCAGAAGCAATTAGACCAGTAAGGTAGTTAATGCAGCGGTAAAATGTCCTGGAACCAGGTGGCTGGTCAGAGAAGTCACCTGGAAAGAGAATGATCTGGAAATGAAAGGCTCTAATTACTAGTTTCTGTCTGTAGAAGTTATAGAGGGCTTTGTGCAATTACATAATGGGTTAGTGTTTGAAGCTGAACTGTTGTCTCTGCCAAAATCATGTTGTTTCTTTTGGAGATGTGTTCGCTTAGGACTGTATTATGGAAGCAAAAGCAGGAGCACACAACTGTGGAAGCAAGACCTATTTACTCGCAGACCTCTAAAAGGGATGCTGAACAAGACCACGCCCAGACTGATAGACATCCAAACCAACTTTATTCTTTTCTCTTACCATCTCTGCAAACTGTATTCATTGGAGAGGACTCTTTCCTTGCTATGGAGAAAAGCCGCAGCAAGTCTGTGAGATTCTTAGTTAACAGTTCTTCTTCTTCTTCTCCTTCTTCTTGTTTTTTTTTTTTGTACTAGGGATTAAACTCAGGGGGACTTGCCAATGAGCCACATCTCCAGCCCTATTTTGTATTTATTTAGAGACAGGATCTCTATGAGTTGTTTAGTGCCTCACTTTTGCTGAGGCTGGCTATGCACTCGCAATCCTCCTGCCCTAGCCACTCGAGTTGCAGGGATTACAGGTGTGAACCACCAAGCCTGTAGTTCTATGACCAGTTTAAAGACAAAACATAATTTCAAATAATATCTAAATATGTCTAACAATAAATAATTTGTACCTGTCATGGCTTTAAATCTTTTCCCCTCTCAGCTCTGCCCCGCTTAAAAGTCAAGGAGCCTGCTTTGGGGAATGGAGGAGTGCTCTTTCTTCCCATACTTCATCTCCAACTAATTGCTGCTATTTATTGTGTGCCCAAGTCGAGAGAGAGAGAGAGAGAGAGAGAGAGAGAGAGAGAGAGAGAGAGAAAGTAAGGGGGTAAAACAGTCTGGCTTGACTGGGAGGTTATGTGTCCTATGTGCCTGACAGATATTTCATAGGTAAATCCCTGCTGTCACCTAGAGACCTTGGTAGATACATATATATTCTGGGTGGAACCCTGCAACTCCCTCCCCAGCCCACATGGCACACTCCTCACTTATCTGTGCCAAGTCTCCTAGCCTCTTCAAAATGGTCCTATTGGACAAGACCGAAGACCCAACCCCACAGTTCCCTCTTTCCTGCAAGGAAAGAGGATACACACATGCAGCACTTGCCAGAGGAAATTCTGGAAATGGAGACCAATGTCAAAGCAGCAGCAATCTCTTGACCCCACCACTGAAAGAGTTTGTGAGCCTTTACTTGCCCTGTACATTTCCAGGGTAGGGATCAGACTCCAAACTCATCATTCCTCGGCTGTAGGAATAAGTACCTCATGCTCCCTAAATAGTCCCAATGAAGTTTCCAAGGGACTTGAAGCAGGAGGGCAAAATCCTGCCCCTCCCTAAAGAAGGGGTTAGGTTCTGACAGACCCACGGTTTCACTGAGAAACAAACTTTCTGAAAAACAATTGTGTACCAATCTGCTCCTATCCCATCCTTTTTACTTATGACTTGAACTTCTAGTATGCTATAAATGCTGCCAGCACTAGTTCAATCATTCCTTCATCCATTCTCCTAGAAATAATATTTACTTCTCTTTTCCTTTAAACCTCAATTTGCTTCCTATTTCACTGAAAAAATTCAAACCAGAAAAGAATTTGTGGGGACTGATCTTAATTTACTGACCCAGAAACTCAGGGAAAAGGCTAGAAATCTGCACAATAATGAGCCTTGTAGGTGATTCTAATGAACTCTAAAGTTTGAGAACCACTGCCTTTCATATTCTAGCAGTAATACCCTTCTAATTCAATCTATCTCTTACTACTCTTGTCCCTCCTTCAATCAGTTTTAGCCACACAGATTTCCAGTTCCTTAATCAGTGAGCAAGCTATTATTCCTTAATGAAATATACATTATTTTTCTATTAGTATGGACTCTCAACAAAAGACATTGAAGCCCAAGAATGGACTTGAACAAGTTTGTCCTGAAGCTGATGACAGAGAAGGCAGGACCCAGATCAGGCTTGAGAGAGTCCTGCTTTTAGAATCAGGATGACTGATGTGATGACAGTAGGGCCTGAGTCAGATTCAGAGAGATGTTTATTCAGGTGGCTGCAATCAGAATAGGCAAAGGGAGTATCCAAATTATAAGGCAGACCTCAGCTGGCCTGCTGAGTTTAATGAGAAAACATAGGAAATACTCCAGAGCTATGAATGTTAGTAACATTTGGGAAAAAAGGCAAATGTGGAGCTAGCTATGAAAGATGATTGTGTATCCTACAGTGAGATACTTTTGATACTCAAAACACATTTATTAATCTTTATGGATTGCCTCCCACTTGGTTATTACAGGAAGCTCCTACTTCATGCCACAATAGTCTCCCAATAAGTTCCATGAAACTGGAGAGAACTGTCAGAGCATTTTATGTTGGCTGCCTGGCAGCCAGCTCCACTCACCAGCTCACATTACCCCTAACATGGAAGTCTTTCTAGTAGGTTGTATAAATTCTGCTCTTTTGAAATAAATGCCATCCTGCCCTCTCCCTCCCTTTCTTTGTCCATAGATCTTCTGGAGCATCTCCTCCCGTTAAGAAGTTGGTACCTGCTCCACTGTCAACTTTACTATCATTCTGGAGAAATTCAAATCTACACAGACAACCCCCTCCCCATAATACCTGACCCTCAGTTCATTATTCAATCTCCAGGCAACCTCCCTTTCACGCCTCTTAGGCACTTACCCCACTGGACACACCCTAGACTACCCTCACCTGGAGCTGCTGTTTCTAAAATTAATAATTCAGGCTTCTGATTTCTGAAAGTTTCCCATCTTCCCAGGTCACTTGTCTGATTATCGTACAACTTGCCATACAAAAACCTACTCCGATCTCCACTCTCTTACCTGTTCTACAAAACTCCACAATTGAGCACAGCCATCACTTACATGTGATAGCCTAAAACTCCTTTCCTCATTATCTGTTCATTTCAGTTGCATGACATCAACTCTGGATGATCCCATAATACTCACATCTTTCACAGTTATATCCAGATTCCTGAGTAGATAAGGACAACCACATCATTAGATGGACTGGTAAAACTGTAAATTCAAGAATATGACAAATTCAAACCGCCCTCACCATTGTGCAGCAATCTTCACTCAATTGCAATCTGACTTCTCTCTCATTTTAATAGACCTCTCAACAGCATATGATAGTTGACAATGTGCCCATTCCTCCTGTATTAAAAAAACTACTTTTCTGATTTTACTCCTCTATGGTTCAACCTTCTCATCTTGTCACCTTTACTGGTTAATTTTCCTTTGTCCATCTATTAAATGCACTTCAGAATTCAATTCTGAGCCACTTTCTCTTTTTTTTTTTTTCCCTATCAATAATACTTTATCTATTCCATCAACTTTACCACCTCTAGGTTACATCCCCAAATCCCTAGCACAATTTCACCCATGTCTCATACTTTTCTTTCCTTTCTTTTTCTTTTTTTGAGACAGGTCTCACTATGTTGCTTAGGCTAATTTCAAACTCTTGGACTCAAATGAGCAAATACAACCCAGTTCTAGCTATTGCTTAAGCCTTGCAGTAGTTAGGACTATAGGCATGCACCATTACCCCTAGCTTGTCTCACTTTCAAATGACATCTGATGAGTACCTGAACACTTTTAACAGGTATCATCAGCCCCACCCAGTTGCTCAAGCCAGAAACCTGGAACTTACTGCAGATTCCATTCTTTCAATCACCCTTGACATCCCACCAATTCTATCTAATGAAGTTCTCCTACTTCTTTCATCACTAGTCCACAACACTTTGGTCTTATGCTACAAACCTAGACTTTTACAGTACTGCTACTCTCATCAATCTCAACTCGAATATATCTTGTCATTTCTTAGCCTTCCCTAGGTAAATGAGTACATTGGCTATACCTCAGGTGATAAGCTGTGGAAACACAAATATGGCTCAGAAGACTGAAGCCTAATCAACAGAGTAACTACAACACACAGTATTTAAATGCTAACTCTTTGTGTAATACTTTGAGAACACAGATGAAAAATAATTCTGCTTTGGGAGTGGGAGAATATGAAACGACTATATTTAGGATGACAAACTTTCCTAAAGTCAGATGAGAAAAACTTTGCTAAAGTCAGTAGAGAACAAAACATGCAAAGGCACTGTGTTACTTATGTTGAATGGTTCACAGCTCATCCAAATGGCTCAGAGCCCTGTTACCTATGTTTTTCTAGTAGGCACTCTCAGATTTGTTCTTAGACAGAAGAGGCTGTATCTTTACACCTGGGCCCAAGGCAGCTACCTTCTAGGGGAAGCTTAGGATCTGTCATCCTATCTCAAATTTCCCTAGCACTAGACTTGCTTGCCTATAGCCTCTGAGGACATGCTGATCTGGGCCTACTACAAGGCAAAAACAATGGACAGACGATTTGACCATAAGCAGCACAATTGCCTATACAAGTGTGATATCAACTAGCTGTGTATGAATAGAAACTCAACTCCTGGACTACCTCTTTCCAAGGACAGTTCAAAATACATTGAGTCTCTAAGCATCTCATGAAATGAGTCTCTTGAAAGTCTTTACCTTAAGTCTCCCAGAGTCTTTCTCAGTCAACAAATCTATTCACTTCAGCCTTCTACCAGCTCCAAGAAAGGTCTTCAAAGAACAATAAGACAACATATAATAGACAGAGTTAGTTTATTGAGCACCTTCTATGTTTCCAGTCCTGGCTATAGACCTCCTCAGTTAACCCAGACAACAATGCTATAAGACAGAAATTTTAGCATTTTCCAAGAGAGAAATGTGATAATCAGAGATTACATGACTTCCAGCTGTAAATAGTAGGCCAAGATTGTAATTGCCATGACAGACAAGCTACCTGTCTGCAGTCTTGAAGGCCTTGGCAGACAGAAGTGAGCAGAGGCTGGTCAGTACAGATCAGAAAAGAGCACAGTGGAGAGATCAGGACAAAAAGCCCATGTGTCTTCTGAGAGATGGAAAGAAGAGCCAAATCCAGAGAACCTTCAATTCCAAACCAACTAGTTTTCATGAGGTCTAAAGATCTATATTCCTCAGATATCTTCCTTTTCTCACAGCAAATTTCTTATTCTTTAGCTTGCACAAGGGATGTTATGCTCCTTGTAACTGAGAAGACTTCACTTAGAGCTGTGACAGGGGTTTTATCATAATTTGTTCTTGGGACAGAGGGAAGGCAATACTAGGTCATGGCCCACAGCTTGGCTGGATTCAGTCTTGAGAGTTCTGAACCTGCCTCCCCTTTCAGGGAGTGTCCAAAGGTCACCTGCGCTTGTAGAGGCATGGCTGAAGTTTCAGGCCTAAAAGTTGAGCCTTGGGCCCTACCCGAGGGGGCCCAGTCTTTTCAAAATCAAACAAGAAGAAGTGACTGTTCCTCAGGTCCTAGGGGAAGAAAAGACCCAGTGAGCTCCAAATGCACACAACTCTTCAAAACACCTCCCTCTAAATCCTTCCGCTAATAAGACAGCTTCATAGGGCTTCCTGAGAGTTGTGCCTCTAGAGAGAAAAATGTCTATTTCACATGTCTATGCCTCCTTCCTGAACACTATACATAAGACAAAAATAGAAACAAACTTCTTGAGGTTCTCACCTTGGAGATGACCTTGAAGCCCAGTTTGGTCACAGCCCCCAGAAAGGCCCGAACATCCTCAAAGCGGCTGCTAACCTCAGCCACTTTCAGAAGACCCCTGAGAAGAGGAGGAAGTTCTGTGTAAATGTGTAGATACATGCATACACATATATATGTATCTAAATCCTAGGGGCTCCTACCCTGGCTTCAATACCCGATTTGCCTCCTCCAGGAAGTCCCTAATGTTGGTTCCCATCAGTGAAAGGCAAAATACAGCCACATCCACAGATTTATCCTCCAGAGGCACCTGTGGAGAGTGGAAATATTGAATGAAGCATATAGTGCTTGAAAGAGATATTCAGTACTGGATTGGATACTAGAATGGGGGGAAGAGGAACTAAAGAGTACAGGCCAGATACATACAAGGGTTTACCTGGGCCATGTCACACACAGTGACCCTGGGATCTAGAGAGGCCAAGTCAAAGCAGTGCACAGGGTTCCGGATACTGGAAGCCAGACGGCAATCTCCACATCCAAAGTCAGCCACCACTAGGGATGCAGGCCTGGGAATGGAAGAGAACAGTCACACATTGGTCTGATCTGAGCCCTTGAATGACCCAAATCATTTCTCAAAGACCCCACCCTCACCGCTGGCGAAGATCCCTGGCAATGCGGTCTACTGGCTGCAGTGGCCACTTCTTCACTTGGCTTTGGAAGCCGCGATGGTAGAGAAAGAAAGCCTCAGGGTCTTCCTGAAAGAGACGCTGTGCAGCACTGCTGGGCCCCGAGTACAACTGTTCATTGAGGTAGCGAAATCGGGCACCATCCAGCCGCTGGGCCATGCGGGCTCGTAGGGCTCCTGCCCGAGTCTCTTGGCTATTTGGTGTGGGGGCAGGAGGCACCTCTGTGTCCTCTGTGGAGTCCTTGGCAGGAAGCTCGTCTGGTGCTGGAGGTGGACGAAATTTGTTCTTGTGTCTCCGCTTATTCTTTTGCCGATTCCGCCACTGCTTGCGGCTCAAGGTACTCGGGTGTTTAGGAGAAGGAGATCCAAGGCTTGGCTTGGGCAGGTTATTTGTAGCAGTACTCTTCCAGGCTTCGTGGTCTGCAGGGAGGCAGAAAGGAAGGTATTATTTGAGGCAAGGTCCCCTAAATTCTGGCCATAGTCTTGAAGACAGACTGGCCTGGATAAAAGTACTCATTGCCTTTGGTGGATATCCTCTGTGCAATCATCTGAATGATCCCTCCACTACATGTACATATACATATCCAATGTACCTGTTTGGTCAACACTGTCCAGGTGTTGGGTTGAGTTTGAAGAAGTCTGTTTTTGGTGTTTCTTCTTTCTCTTCTCTTCAGCAGAATCTTTGTCAAAAACTTGTTTGTGACACTTCTTCCTTTCTACTTCCTTGTCCTCAGAATCACTGCAAGGTGGGCCCTGTTTTGGACGTTTTTTCTTCCTTTTTCCCCCTCCTTTAGCAGAGGAATTGGCAAACAAGGCCTTTGGCAGTTGTTTCTTCTGTTCTACAACTTCCTCCTCCTCATAGTCACTGCCAGGTGGGCTACCAGGGGGTTGCTGGGAAAGAGATGCTGCTTCTAGGATCCGTAATGTGGCCAAAAGCTGGCGGCGCTTGGAACCCTGGAAGAAAACAAAGGATGAGAATAGGGTGAGACTGGGTGAGGACAAGAAAGGAGAGATAGGGACTTGGTTCAGATATTGGCAGAGGCATCTGGATTTTCCAACTCAACTTCAATTGAGAATTGTGAAGTTTTCCAGATCCAGAACTTTCATGTCACCACCCCAACCTTTGGAAGGCCAGAGAGCCGGAAAAACCTCCTACCCTATTCTGTTCAATGTGTAAATGATTAGTAATTGAGGTTCCCCAGAGGAGTGTGGTAAGGCCACAAGCAAGGGAACCAAAGTGAGACCATTCCAGTCCCTCGTTTCAGGCTTTTACCTCCAGCTGATACCTTTAGAAGTAGGGAGGTTTCTTCAACACAGGAGGAACAGGATTACATGTAGTAAATGTGATAGTTGCAGTATACAGAACATCCTGAAAGGAAGAAGCTACACAGAGAGACCAGTGGCCTGGATTAGGCTGATGAGCTATGGGGATGAAAACAAAGTAGGCAGTCCATGTTGGAGACTGACTGAAGGATAGAAAAAGCCTGTGAAGTACAGCAGTCCTCACATCTACTGAGCCTGAAAAGAAAAGGTCTACTGTTAAAGGAAAAGGAAAGCTGATTCAGGATTAAAAGTCCTAATGAGTGCTCCTAGGCTAAGTATTTACCTTGAAGGTTCTCAATCAACCCCACACCCCCTTGAATAGCAATACTGACAACTCTTCCCTGTCACCCACTCTTACTCTCTCCACTCAATTATCTATTCTCCACACTGCAACCAATAATAACCTTTTCAAGGCTGGGGATGTAGCTCAGTGGTAGTGTGCTTGCCCAAAATGCCCAAGGTCCTGGATTATTCCCAAAACCTCGAGAGAAGAGAGATGGAAGAGAATGGAGAGGGAAGAGGAAGGGAGGAAGAGAACTCCTTTTCAAAATTCAAATCTGAAAAAAATCACCCCCCTGCCAAACACACTTCATTGACTTCTGTAGCCTCAACATATGCAAAACTTCTACTTCTTCAACAGCACCCCCTTTCATTTACTCGGTGTTCCAATCCATGGATTTTAACAGAACAGCAAATGCTCCTTGCCCCTTTCCTATCCTAGGAAACTCCTTCTCTTCAACAAATTCTACTCAACCAACTACTTCGGATCCAGATCTTCAGATCACCTACTGTGCTGTAAATACCCGCTCTCCCAAACGTACAGGCAAGGCATGCCCCATCACCGCGATCCATTAGGGTCTGATTCGCGGCCTGATGCAATCCCGCTACCGCTATGGAGTCCCTTACCTCGATTTGCGAGGCTGCCGCTGGCCGAGTCTGTGGGGTTACCAGCCGAAGGCCTGCGGCTACTGGGGCCGCCCCGGCCCATTCAGGCTCCTCGAACATGTGGGCTGCGAGGGCAGAGTGGCAAAGCCCACCCTACTCTCCACGTGCCTAGAGCGTCTCGGAAGTCAAAACGTCCTGACGCCCCAGGACACAGCCGGAAACCAAAGAGTAAGGACAGCGGTGCTAGAGCGGCCTGTGTGACGCAGAAACCATCGAGTGTAGGCTCTCGTGGGCTAGAAGGGCAAGGGAGGTTATAGGACGGGAGGGAAGGCCGCCCGCGGTGGCCGTAGAGGGCCAGGGTGGGGCGGGGCCGGGCGGCGGGCGCGGCCGGACGGGAGTTCCCCGAAGAAGGCGCCTCCAGCCCGAGACCCGGTGAGTGCGGGAGGACCGGCGCCCGCTGACCAAGACTGCCAACCCGTTACTCCTCACTCAGCCTGAGTTCTGAGTAGGGAACCAGAGCGATCCTCGGGAAGGACCCCCATCCGGTCTCCCAGGGTAAACGGAGCCAGAGCCACTTCCCCATCCCCCACCCCCCCACTCAGAGCGCTGTTCGAGGGTAGGGTCTCCGCGCCTGCTGTGCGACTTGGATTCTGGAGATAGCCTCGTGATCACTCCTACCCCTCCTGGACCTTCCTTCCCTCGCGCCCAGGGGATTATCCACTCTCCCTGAACTCTCTCACAGACCACTATTATCCAGGGCACAACGCCCAGCCCCCTCCTCAGCACCAACACTTTTCCCTCTAGCGGATAAAGCTCGGGCTCATCCCCCTTCCCTGGGCTCAACCCCCACAGTCCCCAGGCTTCCCCCTCGCCGGGACGCTGCTATGGACGACATTTTCACTCAGTGCCGGGAGGGCAACGCGGTTGCCGTACGCCTGTGGCTGGACAACACGGAGAACGATCTCAACCAGGGGTGAGCTGAAGCGGTTGGAAGTCTCTTTCTCCACTATGTGGGGTGCTCACATCCAGTGGGGGACTGCTGACTTAGCCATCCAATGTAATGAGCGCTAAGCACAGCCTGTCGTGGGCAAAGGGTCTCCACAGAGGAAGCAGTGTTTGCGCCGAATCTTAACTGTTAAGTTTCACAAGCAGAGGTGCAAAGAGCTTCATAGCCTTAATGAACTACATGGGCAAACGTTAGGAGGCAAGACAGCACAGAATGCCAGGATATTGTCTGGAGTTACATGTTGCTGGAGGATAGAAGAGCTCTGTGGGATGGAGCATTGGGTATAAGTGAAAAAGAACGAGAGAAAGGGCTGGAGAGACCTGCAGGAGTCATGCTTCTATTCTAAGAGCTTGGTTTTAAGGTTGTGTAGTGATAAGATGTTCCATGAGTATCATCTTAGATGCTTTGTGAAAAGCATGCAATTTCCTAGTTCATCCTAGAAGTGATGTTTTGGATCACATTTGGGAAGGTGAAAAATGAGATGTGATCAGCTTCCAGAAATCTTAAGGATGAAAAATTAATGGGCTTGGTGTGGAAAATGAAGGATGGCTTTGACTTGGGCACTTGAACAGATCTAGTGGTTGCTTTTACTGAGATGGAGAAAACTGAAGGTTGAGGCTTTCTGTTCTGTACATATAAACTTAAGGTGACTGTACAGCAACTTGGAAATGTTAAGTAGGTTAACATAGATTTGGAGTTCAGGAGAGAGATCTGACTTGTAAGCAGATTGGAGATACAGTAGCATGTACATGATAGTGAAGATTGTCTCAGTAGGAGATGAAAAGCCTGGCCGACTGAAAAGATACAATCAGAAGTTGAAGAAATACAAAATAAAGGTTAGAGAATACATGTATTAACAGAGGGAATGGTGAATAATAGTATAGGCTACTGAGAAGTCAAAGAACCTAAACGTTTTGAAGTTACTGTTGCATTTACAATTAGAATATATTTTATGACCTCCGAGTGCTGTTTCAGATGATTAATTGGTGAAGAGATCAAACTACATAGGGTTCCTTCAATTGAAGAACTGTACTGAATACCTCCTGTGGTGGGTGCTAGTCCCACAACCATAGATAATCTTTGTCCTCAAGGTGGTGACTCCGGCAGGTGGAAAGTAAATGGGAGGTGAGGAAATAAGAGAAAATAAATGTGGATTAGTTTTCAATGTTGCCTGACGCAAGAAACCAAGACAAGCAGTAGTGTTGGCAATTCAGGATAGTGGATTTTAATTTTTTAGCTTTTTTTTTTTAAAAGTGTGGGATTAATTCTTTAGGTTTGAGAGATCAGGATCATCTATCATCTTAGTCCAGGCTGCACTGGTTCCAATAGTCTTATGCTGTTTTTCTTTAATAATTTGCAAAATCACTAGTTTCATTTCCCATATAATTCATAAAGGGTACTCTGATAAGAGAGTGGGTACAGTAATTATTCTGTTCTGAGGAAATTTAGAGGTTTAGGCAGAGCTGCCCAGTGTGACACACATATTTGAAGATTCCTCACTGCCAAAAGGTGAAGAGGTAGCATTGGTGATATCGGAAGATTTCATTGCTGGTTTGAGGTACTAGAGTGTTGGAGCCCAATCTGTCTATATGCTGGATATGAGGTGGTGGTTAATTCCCTGCAGGCCTACTTGAGATAATAGTCCAGACTTTGAAGTAACAAGCAGCCTGACAGTGGACAGAATCCTTTTGCCCATACCTATGCCGTCAAATTTGGGGTCACAGACTGCTGGAAGCTGATAACAGTATAAATTGAAGGTTTGGGAGGCAAAGCTGGGGGGATGAGGGTGAAGCTTCCAGAGATACCCACCTCCTGGGAAAACTTTGGCTATTTGTGAGTAGAAGAGGACAGACTGTGGAAGGGAAATTATTTCGTTAAAAGCAACCCCCCTGCCCCGCCATCCCCCCCACACACACACACTCTTCAACTCGTTGGGGCACCTGGGTGGCCAGACCCTTGATCTGTTCCAGGCTCCCCGTCTAGAGCCCCCGCAGGAAGTGACCACAGCAGTAAGGCATCCGGAGGCTGTGGCCAGGGCTTGGGACCGCCCCCCTGCTCCGCCCCTCAGATCAAAAGCCCAGGACAAGAGGGAATTTCCTTTTATGGCTCCAAGCTGTCAGGCCAACCTAGCTCCCACCCAATTGTTTTGCTTGTACACTTCTTTTACTTTATAAAACATATGCCCTGGGAAAAGAAAAAAACAGGGATGGTTTTCACTCTAAACAACCATTCTCATACTTTCTGTCCATTACTGCTAAGTAGGAGAATCATGTTTTATGTGGTGTTTTCTCATAGTAATCAAAAGCATTTCCCCTTTTCTTTGTAAATCCCTCCAAAACATCATTTTTAATTCCATTCCTTTTTAGATATTAGTTTCAATATCAGAGTTAAACACTGTTTCCTTTCCCATGAAGTTAAGTTTTCTAGATGGTTGGTTGGGTGTCAAGCTCAGGGGAAAGTGAATTGGACAATTGGAAGTTGCTGGCATGAATGAGAAGTCCTAGAGAAGGGAGCCTTACCAGAGAGTGTACAGAACAACCATCCGTTTTTCATGAATCAAAGCTTTTTCCCAGACCACCTTCAGCTCAGTGACTCTTGCCCTTTTTCTAAGGGATGATCATGGCTTTTCTCCCTTGCACTGGGCCTGCCGAGAGGGCCGCTCTGCAGTGGTTGAGATGCTGATCATGAGGGGGGCACGGATCAATGTGATGAACCGTGGGGACGACACCCCCCTGCATCTGGCAGCTAGTCACGGACATCGTGATATTGTACAAAAGGTAGGCACAAAACCCTCCATCACCCATATCACAGACATACCATGAGGTCAGCAGGCACTTATAATCTAAGGTGCCTTCCCATTTTCCATGCTGGAACACATTTGGGACTGACTACCTTCTATCTCTTCTTTTTGTCTGGCCATGGGGCCCAGCTGTTGCAGTATAAGGCTGACATCAATGCAGTGAATGAACATGGGAATGTGCCTCTGCACTATGCCTGTTTTTGGGGCCAGGATCAAGTGGCAGAGGTGAGTACTCAGGCCCCAAGTCCTGGGACGAGTAAGAAGCAAAGTGAGCCTAAAACCTCAACCTATCCTATTGGTACTATCATGTGACACTCAAAAGGATTGTTGACTGCCAGGGAAGTAGCAGGGGTATTCATCAAAACCACCTTTTCATTCCAGGATCTGGTGGCTAATGGAGCCCTTGTCAGCATCTGTAACAAGTATGGCGAGATGCCTGTAGACAAAGCCAAGGCACCCTTGAGAGAGCTTCTCCGAGGTCCATCCCTTACCCCTTGGTTCTTTTGATTTGTCCTTCCCTGCCTGTGTCCTTCCTCTTTACCACAACTCAGGCTGTTTTTCTTCCCCAGAACGGGCAGAGAAGATGGGTCAGAATCTCAACCGTATTCCATACAAGGACACATTCTGGAAGGGGACCACCCGTACTCGGCCCCGTGAGTCACTGTTGTGGAGGGGGGGGGGGTTGAAATAGTGTTATCCTGGGCTCCTTGGGCTGCATTAGAGCAACGCTGGGTGCCTGACCTGCCCATATTCTTAGGAAACGGGACCCTGAACAAACACTCGGGCATTGACTTTAAACAGCTCAACTTTCTGGCGAAGCTCAATGAGAATCACTCTGGAGAGGTGACTCTTCCCCTTCTTGTCCCTCCCTTCCAAAACTCCCACAAATTACCTGCTTTGCACCTGCTTTTAAGATTTCCTCCCAGTTAATGGACAAAGAAGTGGTGGCTTTAAAGCCTCCTAACCTGTACTTGTCCTTCAGCTATGGAAGGGCCGCTGGCAGGGAAATGACATTGTCGTGAAGGTGCTGAAGGTTCGAGACTGGAGTACAAGGAAAAGCAGGGACTTCAATGAGGAGTGTCCCCGGCTCAGGTGGGGCAAGGTCTAAACTGGAAGTTGCTGGTTCCCAGGAACTCTGAATGGTACAGAAAGGGGAGATCTTTTATCATAATTCTCAGCCAGGGACAATCTTCCCTCTCCCAGGATTTTCTCACACCCGAACGTGCTCCCAGTGTTAGGTGCCTGCCAGTCTCCACCTGCTCCTCACCCTACACTCATCACACACTGGATGCCATATGGATCCCTCTACAATGTACTACATGAAGGCACCAGTGAGTAGGAATGCTGAACTTGTCAGGGAGGGCCTGGGGGAAGGGGTACACGTCTTCTTCAAATTGTTTTAACTCTTGCCTCCCCTTAGATTTTGTCGTGGACCAGAGCCAAGCTGTGAAGTTTGCT